CACCAGTGATCTTAAAGGTCTTTTCCAACCCAAACGATTCTATGATTCTCCGATCGAAGGGGCAGAGGAACAAAGACGGGCGGAGGAACACCATCGCCTCATCAGTGCGAAGGGAGCGCCCCAACTCAGCGATTCCCGGGGCTACCGAAGGGGACGACGGCCCCGCCGAGATGGCACCGATGGGGGTTACCGGCACCGAGGGCGTTCGGAGACGGCGTGAGATTTATCGGGGGATGCTGGGGGGGGGAAAGGACGGGAAAACAGAGCGGAGAGGGAATAAAGGAGACAAAACGGGTTGGTGACGCGTGAACCAGGGCGACACCTTTGCGTGTGCCTGCCTGCGCGGTCGGTCACGTCTGCGCCCCTCCGCCCGTGACGTGCGCGCACCGCAGCAGGGTTTACGCCAGCGCTTCCGCCCGTTTTTCCCGTTTCAGCCCCAACAGCTCTCCTGTGCCCACAGGTTCCCTCCTGCCCCGTTATACCTTTGCTTCTTCCATTTCTAATTAAGGCGGAGGAACAAAAAACCCCAAGGCCCAGGACACGGGTGCCTCTCGCAGACCGGAGTGGCATCGCTGCCCGGGCACCCAGGGCAGGCAGCTCACCCGCAGGGACGTTTTCAGAGGCGGCCATCAGCTCGGAGAGACCCAAACCCTGCGTTTTCCCAGCACAAAACTCCCCCGGGCTGCTGGGAGCAGAACCTGTAGCCACGAGCCACCTGAAACCCCAACCCGGTAGCCACAAGCCACCTGAAACCCCAGCCCGGTAGCCACGAGCCACCTGAAACCCCAGCCCGGTAGCCACAAGCTGTCCGTAACAGGCCCAGCAGCCCTTCCAGTGCAGTCCCGAGGGGTTCCAACACGTGGGAAGCCTCCGCTGCTGCCATCCTGTGCCTGGGAGCCGGCTCTGCCCGTTACCCGGGGACGTCAAGAGCTGCTCACCATCCCCTGTGACAGCCCGGTACAGCTCCCTCCGCCACAGCGTCCCCCTCTGCGGCGGTGCATCCCCTCCCTTTCCTCTTGCGCACCTGGCAGAGCACGGGAAGCAAAGCCGCTTTACGATCTCAGTAGCTCCCGTCAACGCTTGGCCTTTGCGTAACGAGTTTGGCGGTGGAGCATCCCTTGACCGTACCAAAACTCCTATGTGGCTGCGGTGGGGACAGCCCCGTCTGTCCCAGGGAGGCAGCCCCGGCAGCCTCGGGGTCTCTCATACCTGGGCTGGAGCTCGGGAGGAGCTGCACCAGCGCCACTGGCATTTTTGGGAACTTTAGTGAGCTTCAACGCAGGCTCTGAAAGCAGAAGGGAAATTCACTGACGCCTGAAGTCAATCAGCTCGTGACTCTGTAAACGGCGGCGCCACGGGAGACCCTTCGAGCTCTCCCGGGCCGCAGGGGGCTGTGTCGGCACCTGCCTCCGAGCGGGACGCCTCTCGGAGCTCCGGCTCTTAAGTCTGCACGAGCTGAGCTCCAGCGCTCCTCGAGGGTCGACTTTCACCCGAGTGCTCCTCAAGGTTTGACTTTCGCCTGATCTCTGGCGCTCCTCACTCCTTGAGGTTCGAGTTTCGCCCGATCTCCAGCGCTCCTCGAGGTTCGACTTTCGCCCGTTGGGACAGCCATTTGCAGCGAATATTTCCCTAAACCGGGCGGGGAATTTTTATTGTTGCCTTTAACTGCGCATAGCGCGAGTATTTAGGCCTGGTGCGCGTGCGTGAATCGGCTCAAACGTTATAGCAAACCTCATTTAATCACTTTGTAGATGCGAGATCAGTTCACGATCAGTTACTGCTGGATTCTTGTGATTCTCTCCTTGCTGCAGACAAGCCTTCAAGCGCCGCTAGCCCTGTGTAATCCTCGGCCGCGAACCGCTGAGCCGGCCCGCGCCCAGGGTGGCTCCTCGCTGGAGGGAGCTGAGGGCGCGGGGGCCGTGCCGAGCCCCCTGACGGGGCGGGAGGGCCCTTTCCCTCCGTGCATTGTCCTCGGGCTCCACCTCCCCTTTCTGTCCCTCTCCACCTCTGTTCCTCCCATTTCCTAGAGCGAACCTTGCCCTCGCCCGCCGTTAAACCCCACTTTCATACGTTTCTGTTAACATCGCCACTTGCGAATATCCCCGAGGGCGATTTGTACGCGGCCGAACCCCTCGCCCGCGGCACCCCTGCGGCTCAGGCAGCCCGGA